AGTTTATGGGGGAACAATGTGTGCCTAATATCATACTGAAAAAGAAAAAAAAAACACTAATCTTTCCCCCAGACAGTTATTACATGGATTTATAAACTCAAGACTTACACAGCTTAAAATTGTGCAGCTTGACAATTACCAAAGCATATTTGGGTAATGAGTGTCAAAGGAGGGAGACTAAGACATGGTGTATTTAAATTAATTTTTGTAGTAGAATTAATTTATGTAAGGAATCCAGAAACTGGGACAGTAGGTATATTGCAAACCTTTAATTTATAAGTGGAGCTAAGAGGTAAGAAAAAATAAAAGGTAATTTGCATTTAGAATAAGAAGCTTCTTCTGTGAATACTCTAATAACAGTTTCCACTTCTTACTTTGACAGAAAAAGTAATGGATTATGGAATTTTTGAGTACTGACCCAAGTTTCACCCAGAATATTTTAGGTTTACCATTTGTGCATATCATGGAACATAGAATAAAGTAAAATTAACAGCTGGAAGGTGTCACATTCTTAAGGCAGAAGTGATTAGGAAAAGGTCTGGGGAGCAAGTTTAACCAGCCAGCTCAAGCTTTGTTCAACTGTTAATTTAATTACTTTGTGTTATATCCTGTGTCACAAGCCTACCCCACACTCAGAAATGCCAAACCTGTTGGCATGCACTCAGACAGCTGTTCAGTTCTATTCAAAGCTGCCACTAGTGTTGTGAAAGATGCTGTTTCAATTTTTAAGCTCTGTAAGTGACCATAGAAAGTTACATTTGGTCAGTCTGACCCCTGATGAGAATTCCACAGCTACCCAAAGTGGAAACGTCACTTTTTTGATGGTCCTTTGTAGTCATCTATAACAACACATACACCACTGCCTAAATTAACATAATTTTGATTTTAGTTTTATTGACTTGCGGTTATGCACTAATGGATTGAAACCAAAACAGAAAATGGTTCCCTCCACTGATAATGACAGTAGGAAGCTTGTGGTTTTTTTTTTTTTCAATTTATTTTTTTTTAAATGAAAGTTTTACAAGCTCTCTCTCATAAATATTTCATTGTATCACTCTATTGACATGCTGAATGTCTCCCATTTGGAAGAAGTCAGCGGCAGCTCTAAGCCTCCCAGGGGAGTTCCAACAAGCTGGAGCCTTCTCCCAGGGGATGTCTGCAACAGCAGCAATTCTGTGCCCATCACACACAGATATTCTAAATGGAACTGAGCTGATGGAAAACTTCTCTTCACATCATTTCCTCTCAAATGATACTGTCAGAAAAACCTACCAAAAAATGAGGTTGTATTAATTATGGAAGATAATGCTGTGAGAATGGGACATAAGACCCAATTTATAGTTCTGCTCCCACCTGAGGGGTCAGACTAATCCCACCTCTGTCAGGTCAGTTCATCCAACACACAAACCTCTGCCATTCTACGAAACTTCAAACAACTAAAAGTGCATGAGGTATGTTTAAGGTCTTTTCCTACTCACATAAATTGAGCAATCTTTCCAAATATAGATTCCAAGGGGAAAACTTGCCCCAAAGATCTGTGGTTTTCTATTTTCAACCTGGATCCAAAATTCTCACGAGAAACGCCTACAGGGCATACATTTCAATTAAATTTATATTGCTATCTTCAGTGAAGCCATCTGTAGGAGGAGTGCAAATAAAATGAAATTTAGCACCCTCATTCCTGAAATTTAGAGCATGTGTGGTATTTTACACATTTAATGTGAGTGCCCCAAATGTCACCATAAAGGTAAACATGCCAGATTTTAAATATCAGGCTCAGCATGTAGTTGCAATATGTGACAATAAAATCTGGCTTTATAAAGGGAAAAAGGCATGCAAAGGTGAAACACAACTGTGATTTTCCTCTTCACACAGATAAGTGTTCCTCCCCAAATCTGTGTTACATAAGTTTATAATAACCCTCTTATTCACACTGTAAATTATTTATACAGACAGAAAACTATTATAAATATATCTGTATGCTATTTCAAACAGATTAAAATTTTGAATTTAAAAGGACTACTTTTCAGCTTCTAGATTCTAGGCTCTCTTTTAGTAGTTTTCAAGTGTTTATTGCATTATTTTACTTAACTTGAAGGTTGAACCAAGGACACTGCAAACAAGTGTACTAAATCATGTTACTTGATGGGCTGAAAATCAATCTTCTTTCATGGCATGGATTTACAAATTAATTGACATGAAAAAGAAAATACTTATATAGCTGAAGCCATTTCACATCAGGAAGATGGAAACAAGGATTAAGAGATTTGAAGAAATGGTCTTTTGTTAGTATAAGAAAAAGAAAGTAAGTTTACATCTCAGTGGTGCTAAGTGACTGACTGTGACGTAAGACAATAAAGATTCATCTTTTATATGCTTTATGCAAAAACACAAAGACAAGTGGTCAAATAAATGCAGAGCAGGCAAGAAGAGACATATGCTGATACATATTTATACCATGAACTGCTTCTTTGTAAAACACAGAAAAAGTTTTTAACACCTTATTTTGAATAGTCCCTCTACAAATGATAAATATCAACATAGTCTGAAATCCACTGGATATTTATGAACTAAAGTATACATTAACTGCAATAAAGACAACAGAAACTACACCCACATCTCTTTAAAATCTCATCATTTAATATAAGAAAGCAGCCTACTCTGCAATCTAAGAAGGTAACATGATATTTGTGATTGAGACTTAGCAAGATTAAAAGTGTATGTGTATTTTTCATGTTGGAATGTGTCTACCAATTATGCTGTTCTCTACTGGTAATGAACTAACATTAAATTACATACAACAAAGGAAACAACAAAAGACCTCACACGTCATCATTCTGAAATCAAGTGTAGCCTTATTAAGGAGAACATTATCACAAGCACATTTTGTATAAGGCTTATTTTTTAAAAATATTAGAATGTTATGAAAGATGTTGGGAGATTTCATTGTGACTCCTGAAAAAGAATTTAGTGGTGCAGTCTCATTAGATGTTCTCCAACCGTGAATTTCCCTTCAACACTACAAGGATTGCTACTGATTGAAAGAGATAAGGGGAAAGCAAATGGTTCTTCACATTCCACCTGCATAAACTTGGTACTGCAATTCCAATGTCACCTTGGAGCAAACCAGCAAGAACTGATATATAGCAACCCAGTGCTTCATTAGACAAGTTAGAAATTGGAAGTTTACTAAGATTTGAACTTGTAGATGCAAATAGATGCATAGACCATAAACAGATGTAGAAAATGTGCCTTGCATTGCATTGGCAATGCAGTAAATTATGCATGATAATATAGAGACACACAGTGACCATTATTACCATTATACATTTGCTGTATGCAATAAAACCCTCAAAACTTTGTTCATAAGAAAGTGACTGTGTATAGAATTTTATATTTAACATTATACATAAAACCATCCCAACCCTCAGCAGTGAAAATTTACAGTATTTAATGATGCAGTAAAATAACCATTTAAAATTAGTAAATCTTACATTTCATTTATTATACTTCACAGAATAATCAACCATCAGGCATGATGTGAGTAAGATCAAAAATCTCAGCCCTCCAAATCTCTTTTGTAGTTTGGACTGAATATTTTACTACAGTTTCCTCCTAACAGAATAAATTAAATGAAAAAATATAATAAGAAATGAATCATACATATTCCCCCCTATGGGGGTATTTCCAATAACTGATGGCTGTTGTTGTAATGTCATAAAAGCTACCACTATCTATCTACTACTATCCAAATTTGAAGAGGAATCTCTGTGTTTATTTTCAGGGTACAGCCATGTGCATCACACATGGCTACAACTTCCATTCTCTTTTCTAACTGAGAGTTTGAAAAGTCCTTTCAGCTCAGACACAAAGATTAACTAAACCCCACCATATCATTCTGTGTGAAGCACCACGGTAAAACAGCCACCAAATGATTATTCAAGATCAGTGACTGAATCACTGGTCAAGACACAAATTGAGCACTGCATTTCCAGCTCTACTTTTGAAAGGATTAATTCAAACATATGAAGATTTCCAATTAAATACTTCCACTGCTTCATGCATATACATCTAAGGCAGCTGCCTTCATGAATCACATTCTAACTTTTAGCTCTTTTTTTGAATACAAAACAAAAAATAACTCATAATACCCCACAGATGTAGGCACAGTCCCAGGCACTGCAAAAGGTAAATGCTTAGTTGCAGTGTGAATCCAGCTCATGTTCCATTTCTATTTAGAATATGATTAATCTTTTGATAATAATAAATAATAGTTTTCACTAAAATTTAATAGGAAACAACTTTATAATCTGCTATATTTCATGCACACATTCCTGCGTTTTTATATCTTTAAGCATGGAAAAGCCAGACCAGAAATTTGATTAGATTCAAAAATTAAACCCAAAACCAGCACAGCTAATAATCCAATTTTGTCTAAACAGGAGAACTCATCCAGGGATTCTCATGTCAAACCCATAATTCTGCTTTAACCACAGATCAAATTTCATCAACAGAAAGCCATCCCACTTCTTGCTAAGACATTCAAAGGTATAATTAGCCTCACTGGGAAAAATGTGGGTTTGTTCCAGCCCAAATCTATTAAAATTCAGATTCTAACCTTGAGTTCTCGTTTGCCTTTGCCTGGCAAACAATAAAAGCACATAGAAGATATTTGCAGTGAGGAGACAGAGATACACATGTATATCCTGTCATTTAACTACCTATGCTTCTGCTGGATAATTCAGAGATTACACTAATGCAAGAAAACTGTCAATAGAAAGTGAGTTCTTTATGGTTTACAGTATAGTTCTGCATCACTTGAGACCAATACGTCCCAAAGTGTAAAACATTAAATATATTTTATGATTTTTCAAATAAATGTTATAGATTGAAAAAAGATTTTAGTGTCCTGAGGATCAATACTAATAAGCTTTTCTAAAGTACTTTATACATTTATGCTGTTATGTTTCATACAGTAAAATTTTTCATATATCACTTACTTTTTTGTCTTCATTATATTTGTGGAAAATTTCCTGAGCTCTTTCTTCACCACCATCTGTAAACAGCATAATAATCTTATTGCAGTTAGCTCTGGAGACACTGTGCTGTAGGAGATACAAACAGAAGAGTTTTTATATTTCAGGCTATAAGGAATAACAATTATTATATCTGATGGCTTTTATAGCTATACACTTACCATTTTATCATGGTAATGTCAAAGCATAAATCTTTTAGAATTTCATTCAATATCCCCCACTGAACAAAAAATAAAATAAAATAAACCAAAGATACTTTTCTGTTCTATAATACTTCAATATGAGTCACTTTAGATCTGGCCCAACATAGTGGAATGGGGATTTGCTGGTTCCTGTCACCTCCATAAACACAAGGAGAACCCTTTAGCTCATACTCATTACATCAACCCCAGTGTTCCTTGTCAGATGTTCTGCATGACACTTGCACAGTGGGGATATCAAAATATTTTTTCTCTTTTCTCATCCTTACTTTTTTTCCCTTATCATTACTTTCCTTGTGGAAATTAGGGAACAATGGACACGTAATGAATTACTGAATATGATTATTTTTTTCTGTTTAACTCCCACTCACAAAAACTTTCCAACTTGCTGACAGCTTGAATAAAAACTCTGTTAATTTAAGCATCTTACAGAATATCAACCTTATACCCTTCAAAATATTTTTGTCATATTTCCTTAAATTTGGCTTCATCTTCCAAATCTTTAATTCTTTCATGTTGTTCTTAAAATTATTAATACTCTCAAGTGAATAGCTAATCTTCAGAAATGTATTTTAGAATAAGGTTTACATAATATATTGTAGCCAAGATATGGCCACCTAGATTATTAAAATCTCTCCATCACCTACTTTTCCAATTAGGTTGCATCTTAGAGCTGAAAAATGGAGCATGTTCCATTATTTCTGGAGAGCAAGCCTGAAATACAAGTAAGAAGCCGCCTCTCTGACTCCTAATTCATCAATGTAACTAGTAAAGCCCTTGAGAAAAAGGCAGTGTGTTTTGCAAAGAAATAACATTGTTCCACAGCCCAATCAATAGTGGTGAGCATGAATTTTGGCTCCTTTTTATTCTCTAAAAGTTAAATCTCTAGTCTAAAGTAAATTGCTTATTGCTTTTGCAGCCATTCCTTGCCCTTAGTGTTGCATACAAATGGCACCTTGGTACTTCTGAGTAGCTCGATGTGACTGAGTAAAACCCTTAGAGATCCAGAGAAATAAATTCAACTTCTCCTTCCACGAGCCTCAATTTTGCTCTATGAATTTACTCTAGAGTCAGGAAGATAAATAGGAGAGTGGTCCTTATAAAGTCCTCAATTCCCTCCTTCTTTACTCTTTGTGGCTACAAACTGACTGCCACCAGGCTGGTCAGGTGTGATGATCCCAAATTCCCCTCTGCCACTTTTCACTCTACTCATTGGTCTAATTTCTGCTCAATATTCAGTGAAGAATTACTTCTTTTCCTACTATTACTACTTTCAAATCGAATAATTTGTGAAAAAAAAAAAAAATTCAAGCCCAAAGAATTTAGCCCAGCATCCCTTACATGTAACAGCATATAAAACCTAGCTATATATCAATACCTTTTCTCCAGCCTCATCAGCACGCTGTGTTTCAGTTGGGATTAAATAATTTATGACCATTTTTCGCTTGTGAAATATAACTTGCAAGATACTGCTTTGGGCTGCAATTCTCTCGATATTAAAAATGTAATAAAAGTAGGGTTGGATACCTCATAAATAAAGAAATTCACCTACATCTACCGTGATTTAATATATAGACCAAAATAATATCGGAGACAAAGAAGGGGACCAAACTTTGCTCATATTATGGAAGTTTTCTAGGGATTTTGAAAGAAGTAGTACTATAGGCAATGGAAACTTGAGCTAGGCTTTGTTTTCACTGAATAAAGCAGGACTTTTCTGTAACTTACTGAGCATATAACAGTATCACAAAAAAATCAGTTTTCTCTCATTTCCTCATACTTAGAGAAGGACATTACTTACATTACATTGTTTAGACATTAAAGACGCTAATGTCACAGAAAAAAATATCCAAGATTTTAGCCTCCAAACATTATTGGAAAGCTGAACATGAATAAATTCAAATTCATATGACATTACCCTATCCCTGTAACTGTTAAAGGCCAGGCTGAATAGAACTCTCAGTAGCCTGGTCTAGTGAAAGATGCCTCTGTCCATGGCAGGGGTGCTGGAACCAGATGATCTTTAAGGGATTTAAAACACATCTTCCTCCCCCCACAGCCTCTTTTGATCCAAAATGGAGATACTGGCTCAGGGAGTGAATCCATGACAGAGTCTGAAAATCTGATACTGTAATTTCATTTTTCTGAGCAGTTCGTCCAATGGGCCACAGCTGAATGGGAATGTGTTGTCTATACAGGAGCTTCCCCAGCACAAAAACCAGCTTCTTAGCTATAACCACAAAAGAAAACAAGAGGAATTGAACTATTTAATAATTTTTAATTCTCTCTTCTCTTTGATACAGGCCTTACTTTTTCCTTTCTAATAGGCAAGCATGACACAATCTATTTTATACTGCATCTAAAATTGCTTTTGTTTTAAAGAAGCTTCGCATCTTTAAAATTCACACCTGTAAGCGGCAGGTTATAATTATATTTTGTGACATGACACTTCAAGAATGCATTTTTCACTAATTTTTCCTTAACAAAACATAGATATTACAGTATGAGGGAAAAATCCTCCTGAACTGCTGAAACTGAAGTATAATGATTTTCAAGGGAGAACCTTAATGTGACAAATAATAATATGAAAATACTGTATAAAACTTATGGAATCCAGATTGTTGTTAATCACATGAATTATTATCCTGAAAAAACTCGAGTGTCTATTTCCATTTAGAAAAATAAGAAACAGCAATTTTTTAATGGTACCAAACATTAATTTAGTATACGGGGAACTTGTTTGAAATAACTGTCATCCAGAAAGAATACCCACAAAATTATTTTGAAAATTTGAGAAATACCTAATTTATTTGGACCTTAAAACAATTGGATTATTTGAATTCATATATATACAATGGCAACTATCCCAAAGCATATTTTTTATTATTTATTTAAGCCTGTATTATACCACCATATTATATTGTCTTGTCACCAGAGCCTTGGCCTGAACCCATCACCAGCCCTTTACTCTTCCTGCTAAACAGATTTGGCAATATTTGGAGAGGATGAGAATATATCCATAAGCTTGTGCAACCCACAATGTCCAGCCATAACTTCTACGCTTGCAGAGAACATGTGAGGCCAATCTACTTCTGCCTCCAGCTACCAAAGAGATGGTCCCACTTTAACATTCATCTCCAATTATTTTTTAATACTTTAGTCCTACAAAAATTCCAGTTTGAGGCTTCCCCTGTGTTCAGCTTTTGTTATTGTTTCCTGTACACCAAGCATGTACCTGGTGCTGCACCAAATGTAATCCATAACTTTAAGCAAGTATCATTGTTAGGAGGAACATATTTGGCAAAATTTCTTTTCTTCCTGGTTCCCTCTGCATAAGATGTCAACAGGTGCAGAACAGGGGAAAATGCCACCCAGCCTGGTCCAAAATGTCCAACAGACTTCAAAATATTGTTTGTGGTTTTATATAAAACCACATCAGCAGAGGACACCCACTCATTTCCCCCCACATCCTTCTGCTAATCTGAATAGTAGTATACTGAGAAAATTCCCATTAAAACATTGCATTTTCTTTTTCTCCATCAAAATTTTACAAGGCTATAATTTTTTTTACATCAGATCTAGCTTTAAACTGCACACACAATGTCAGGGAAGTGTCCTGAATTTGAGAATCTGGCAGACTGCGGGAAAAAAAAAAAGTAAAAAGTCAAAATAACCGCAAACAAAAAACCCAACCAACCAAATGAACCAAAAAAAAAAACCAACCCAAAAAAACTACACAAAAAGTCCACAAAAAACCAAAACAAAACCAAAACTAAAACCACTAAGGATTAGAATACTTAAGCTATACCTTACCTGCTGTAAAGTGATATAGCTTTAATTAAGCTAATGTTTAAGATATAATATGCCTACTTCAGGAAGGTGAGAAGTAGAACTAATTTTTTAAACAACTACATGAACCATTTAAAATTTACTCATAAAACCCAAACATTTGCTATAAACAGGAAACATTGCTATTCAAATAGCTTGTGCCTGGTTAGAAAGTGCAATGTATGTAAAAAATGGAAACAATGCTTTTAATTTTTGAGGAAATTATTCTTTTTATACATGAGAAAGAGAAAAAAATTAGAATAGTCTCAGTGAGTGAGTACTATGCTTTAGACCTCATCAAGTGCCCAGAATTCCTCTATTAACTAATTCATTTTCTTCCCCTATCTTGCTCAAACCATGGTAAACTATTTATGACTTCTAATAAGTGTGAAATTGTAGGTTAACTAAGCATTGCTAGGAGATGATGAGGTAAAATTGAAATAATAACACAGTAACACAGATCTTTCAATTTTAAAATTAACTGCAAGTCAACCACTACCACAAGTATGTGTCAACTGTGAATCACATGTTAAATGAAAAACCAGCTGAATGAATGAAGTAAAACAGTACAACAGATTGAAAACCAAATTAATTCCAAAGTCTTAGCAACCTGCTGGGAAACCTGCAAGGAAGAAAACATTGTTGGGATAAATTTACTTGCCAAATATAGGTTTGCACTTGTACCACATAGTTACACAATGAAGGAGCATGCAGGGGCCTGCTGAATATTCCAATTCTCCTTCACTTGACAACAGACAGATCTTGCTTCAATACTTACATTTAGCAGCTGTTCAAAAGCATAGCTAAAGCCTTTTTTGTAATCTGTAATTCCTTTAGCAGAGATTTTATAGACAGCTTCTTTCAGTTTCTTCTTGTTCCTCACATTAGCTTGGACAAGATGATTAAAGCAACTGACATTCTGAGCATTGTTATTAAACTGCAAAATAAATAGAATAGTATTAAAGACAGTTAGTTTTCTTTTCTGTGTACTTTAGAAGTAAAGATTTATATTTTCTGTATTTTTGTGTGATAAAGAATGTAAAAACTAGATTTTTATTTCCACTATGCTGAGAGCAACCAGTAGTGAATGGAGAATCCAAAATGAATCTGAATATTTTAAAAAACAGGTATTTGATGCTTCACTCTGTGGCAAGCCAAAAAAAATCTAGTGGAAAAAATCACACAAATTTTGTTTCAAGTTTATATAAAGAAATAAAATGTAGCAGTAAAATAAAACTTAGAAATGCAGACTTGTGGAAATTAAAAAAAAAAAAAAAGATAAAGATATATTTTTATATCTTTATATAACCCCCTGAAAAATATTGATTTTCAGGTGACTTCCATATTGCATGAATTAGTTTGGTGTTTTACAATGTAACTTGCAGATCAGACTCAATTGGTATATATAAATTATGGAAAACAAAATACACTCTTGGAAGCACAGGAGAGTACAGCTGGAAATATGAGAATACTGATGATAGCAGTAGCAATCTCTGTCTTGAGAAAACACATACTTCTACTGTCTTATTCACATATCTATAAAGACTACTCCCTGAAAAGTAATTTATATGATGTTCTGACATTATGTAAAAACATACACAGAAATTTAAGTGCAAAATGTTGTCTGCACAAGTGGAAATCAGTTTAAGGTTGCTTTTAAATTTGTCTCTGTATAAATATACATATATTCATGTATACTAAAATACAGACCTCACAATTTACATTTCAACTGAAAACAGATTATTATGCCTCTTCCTGATTATGGATGTTCTGTGAAAGTAAACATAAATGTAATTTTATGCTTTCAGCCTGGTGCAAAGCTTTAAAATAACTTAAAAATCAAGCTTCATTGGCCTAAATCTCACTACTGCTAACTAGTTCAATAGTTCTCTGTAGCGAAAAGGTAAAAAAGGTCACAGGTTTCAATAAATGCTCAACTACCTAAATGTCTAAAATAAATCACTGAGTACCAGGCACAAAGTATAGACAGAGAAGTGATTTCAGCTGCAAATACCAACCTGTATCTGTACAACACTAATAACAAACAAAACTTTAAAAGTATTAATGATATTAAACCATTTTTAATAATGCCTAATATTTCAATTAATGTTATTAAGGAGTATGAACATTAAGAACTGCATATTCTTAATGCATTCTGTATTGCCCAAAAAAGAATATTTTTGGGACCAAAAAAAAACCAGTCTGTTTTGCTGCTTAAGCAAAACCATGAGATGATCACACCACTTGAACCAGTTCACTCTGCTGCAAAACTCTGACACATTCAATGGTGCTTCCAATAAAAGTTTCCTACAGAAGTAATCAGTAAATCACTTAATGATTATTGGAAACATAAACCATGTGGGAGTGAAAACAGTTATTGTGCTGTGGAATTATTTCAGTTTGCCTCAACCTAAATTTATAGCCATGATAGGATAATTACAGACATAAAGTAATTTTATAAAGACAAGGTCTGAAAACCAATTCAAATTGTGAGCTGGGGTAAAAGTACAGAAATTGTAACAGGAAAGTAAAAAAAAAAAATTATCTTGTAGGCAGTTCAGCCCAACAAAAGTCAATTTAATCTGAAAAAATAAAGTAAAAACACTTCTTCAGTGTTTTCACTATAGATCTAGTATATATATAGATCTAGTAATATATATATATATATATATATATATCTCACTAGTAGCTATATAATATTACTTCACCAGTGATATTATATAGAAATTATTTAATAACTTAATATAAAATAAATCCTAAGATCAATCCTATGGCCTGTACATGCCTTGTTTTGGCTATGGAAATCGCAGTTTAGACATTTCATAAGTGAAAATTTAGTGACAAGAGAAAATTTCTCCCTGAAATGTCACTAACATGAAACTGCCAGTCTTAGTCACTTGCAAGCAGTCCTGCAAATATACCAGGATAATTATTTCTAAGAAGGTAGACTGTATCCAGCACATGGATTGGTAATTATGGCTATAGAAATGATTTTTAAAATATTTTAAGGAATACTGGTTCAAACTGTGCAGGCAGCTGACAAGAAAACTGCTTTACTAAACTTCCACAATTAACTGCATTGCACTGCACTCACACACTCTGCAAAGTGAACAAAGGGTCAAACCAAAGCATCTGCATCTGTAGACGCACAAATGCTGATGTAAAATGAAGGAGAGAAATGACACATTTGTAGCATGGAGACTTACATCAACCAAAGTCTGCAAATGCTCTAATTTAATTAAGCAAATGTATGAGCCAGCTGTTTGCAGCGACATCAGTCAACATTAATGTTAGTGCCAGTCAGAGAGGCAGAGGAGCAGAGTTTGTGATTCGATGAAGGAATCACTCGATGGAACAGCAATCCTCCAGAATGAACATTTCCCTGTTTGCTAGGAGATGAAGGCAAAGCTCAAATCTGACTGATGAAATGCTGATGAAGAGGGAAAGAAAATTCAGGGATGAATTTAATTAATCTGAACTCCAGGAAAGTATTGAATTAATGGAAGGATTTCAACTGTAAACCAGAATATCCTTAAAACTGACTTTTTATACATGGCAAACACCAGGACCATTCAAAACTTAGAGTTAGCCATACTGAGCCAGCTTTTAGTTATGCTCATATGAAACACAACAGCAATAGTGGCACTATTAGTTTTTACACATTAAGATTTGTAAAAATTTACACATCTTAATTTACAAGCCAAAATAACTCCTGTAACCCTTTATTGATTATTGGTCACATTGTCTGACCCTCAAGTACCATAATAATGCTTATTTCAAGTTGACAAGATTTCTTGAAAACACAATCGCTTAGGATTCAACTGAAGAAAGAACATTAAAGCTCTCAAAAACCAAAGCCATTTTAGAAAGTCCATGTTCTTACAAAATCAAATCCTATCAAGGTGAAAAATTAAGGTAATTACAACCCATACTTTGTTGAACAAAGTACTCTCAGTGTATTTATGTGAAATATGTCAGTTGGGTATTTAGTAGCCTGGCATTCCCCCTAATTATTGCAGTAAATATAAACATATGCAACAAAAGTGAATCAGAAAAAAAGAAATAAATGGAATTTTTTATGATGTCGTGGGCTCAGTGATTCATTTGCAAAACAAAATAAGACATTTAGAGGCAAACCATTCAATTGTTCAAATGTAAAGTCACCCTATAGAGTCTGTCACCACCAATGACAGCTTCTATTTTTTCAAGTACATGAAAAGCTTATTCCTTATCTAAGCTAAAATAAGAGAGGCTTGCAGCAAAACAGTTGTAAATCAAGGAAAACAGGATAACCTTGAGCTTTTTATTTTAAAGCTTCATGAAGTATTAATATAATTAAATCTGTCTTGTAATTATACCTGCAAGGTATAGGATCTAGATGCAGTTTCCACTGGATTACTTCTCACTACCCCATCTATTTATATCCTATTGCATTCTCCACCTCTGGGATGTCCCAGAACAATCCTCTGCTCTGAGAAAATTAAGACCTTCTCCTCACAGGTTTGGGCAGGAATAACTAAGCCAGCTGCTGGGGCACAAAAAGTCTCAAGGGAACTCAATCTCATTGACCTCAGACCACCAGTACAATCTCTGGGCATACATGGGGCAACTCAATAGCCTGAAAGAGAAGAAAACCAATTCAACTTCGCATGAAAGTCCAAATGAAGGGCTTTGAGCCTATTGCTGCTTGAGCTTTGTCATTAGGGAGAAGGTCTGAAACAGAAATAATAATCTGACAGTCTTACAAGAACTTTATCTTCTGATTCATAAAAGGATCTACTTGTGAAAACCAAGTGAAAAAAACAGTGAAAAATTATACAGAAGTGAAGCAAAAGATTTAAATGCTTGATTTAAATTCCCTTCCCTTGGGTAGCTCCACTGAGCTGTGGGATCCTCCAGCCCCATGGATCTCTGCAATCCAAGCGCCCCAAGAGCTGAACTGACAGAAAATAGGAGGCTGTCATTCTGAAAACCGCCTCTAATTCCAGAATAGTAACTTATGCATTGCTAAAAACTTCTTATTTTCCACAACCTTGACCTGGAAATCCTTCTAATAAAATTACTAAAATTGCTAGCACAACATGAGGTTATTAGGGAATTCAAGGGAAGTAAAACAGAAATATTGATTTATTTCCTATATCTGTTCCACTTTGTAGATATGCAGGTCAAAGAATGAATAACAAGACCTTACAGACAGATGTTTTCATTAGGAGGGCAGTATGAGGAAAAAGATGGGACGGTGAAAAAGAAAAAAAATCTGGAGAAAGCATCTGAAATGAAGGACGAAGGTATCAGAATTCAGCATGAACTCTGTGATTCAGTTGAAAATAACAAAATCTTGAAAATAACATTTGAAAATAACAAAATCTTCTGTAAATTATCTCATCACAGCAAAATGCAAAACCAAATGCCAATAAATCAAAAACTTCAAAAAAGTTTTCAAGTTTAAGTCACTAGGTGGCACTAAAACAAAAAGAGTTGAACTGATCTTAAAAGGACCATGAAACATGGAATTTTATATTTCTGGTGGAGAACATTGGTGCTTTCTGTAACTAGCATAAAACTTTCATTTAAACTCAACCAACAAAATATATTCATGTTCTAAATGATTGAAAAACCACAAATATTAAAATCTAAGCTTCCTCCTAAAAGGAAAATTTCCACATCTTGAACACAGGAGGTCTCGATTCTAGGAGGATGAAAATTATGCAAAAGCTGTAAACCAGCTTTTAGAAAGCTGTAAACCAGATTTCTAAATGTTCTTCTGTGCCTTCAAAATCTGTAGAAGTGATTACATAAGGCATGTAGGACCAATCTTTGCAAAACTTCAGATTTTCATAATTATCCTTACCTATTGCCTCCCTTTTCTATCAGTTTGTTTACTTACATCTATTGATTCAACATAGCATGTCTAATCAGAATCTTCTGGAGTTGCAT